CCCCAAAACCCCAAAACCCCAAAACCCCAAAACCCCAAAACCCCTAGGTTTTATTCTGAAATTGTATAATTATTAGCAATATGTCTATGATCCCAACATTGTCTTTGCCTCACCTAGTGAAATCTAGCAAGGCCAAGGTTTTGTGTAAAGTTAAAGATCCCTCTCGGTTCTTGTATACCTTGTAAGTCTAGGTTTTAAAGATGCATAGGGATATTGATGACACAACAAATAAGAGCATGACAGGCTTGGTAACAAGTAAATCTCTATTATCAAGATAGGTTGTGTAGCATGAAAGTTACAACAACCATTTCTCGTTGTATTGATTTAATTCGTCTTCAGACTTTTCCTATGTGCTCTTTTGTATATTTATAAGCGTATTTTCTTACGAATTAGTGGCACTAGACGTTTAGGGACTATTTCCAGCAAGCATAGGGAATCTAATGAACTAGGTTTGGGCCTAAGAAGAAGCCTCTAGTTTACCAATTTTTGAAATCAGTACTTTCAGAGAAGCTAAGCTAGACAGATAAAATTCCCATTTTAACCTTCCAGGCTTATTTTTGGGAATATGCCTTCCTCAAATTCTTATATGAATAGTTCAGAGTCTTTACTGGCATATGGCTCAGTTAGAATATTTCTAGATAGTTCCAACCCAAATTTATAGGCAAAGCACATAAGTTATCGATGAAGTACAGGTTCCAAAATCGCCATAAGGCATATCAAAGTAGTATGGGAGGAAGTAAACTTAGCAGTAAGATACGAATTAACATTATCTAGCTACTGGGGTGGAAGAGGTCAATGATTTGTCACAGATTAAGCTTCCGCCGCTTTCTAAGTAACTATGTCTCTCACTCTTAGAGCTTCAGCAACTCCTGTTGCCACTCGTGGAACGAAGATCCTAAATTTCCAGAGGGAGGAATTGGCCAAGGAAAGCGCAATTGATCGCTCTTTCAGTGAGCTGAAAGAGATTAAGCTTCGAACACCTATTAAAATAAGCAATAAGCTGTAAGCTCCAAACTATATTTAGAAAGAAAGTTACAAAAGAGCTTAATAAAGAGCCCTTGTAAAATAGTTCTAGTGACATTTTAGGAAACCTGAAATTCAAAAGCCAGAAATCCAGAAGCCAATAAAATTCAGAAATGCTAATACACAGACTTCGAGCGAGCAAGTGGTTGTGAAGAAAGTAACGATCCGGCCTAAGAAGGTGCCCAAAATAAATTACCTAACAGCTTACCTAGATAGCTTAGTTGAGGACTATAAGTTATCTCGGAGGAAGATATCCAGGAAGACAAAGAAGAGAAGGATCAAGCCAGCTTTGCCAAAATTCAGCTAATTTCAGCCATAGCTACTCAATGAGGGGTTTTGGGGTTTTGGGGTTTTGGGGTTTTGGGG